AATATCTGGTGAAGTGTCGGGGATACCCCCCCCCGAGCGTCTCAAATTCCCACGAGTTTGAGACGCCACTTCAGCAAGATTGCCCAGACGCCGTAGACGCTTTTATCAAAAAGATCAGCACGCTTCGCGTCATCAGAAGCCTTGCGCTTCCCGGCAATAGGCAGGGAAGTAGAAGGACCATGGGCTGAATTTAAGTGGTGGCCCTGAGCTCTTGCGGTCGCAGACACAGAGCTCGCGGAAGCGTTATGGGTTGACCCATACGTCGCAGGGCGACAATCTGAAGGGAATTCACGGGTGAAATATGGCTTCCGCGCGACGGATCCCGCTGTGGAAGCGAAGGACGTGGTAACTCGATCGTTACGCCTCCATATCATCGGGCCCCTGCCATTACGAAAGATGAGCTTGCCAAACGGAAAGCTCTTAGAGCTCGTTTCTTGGTTCCACAACAATTTCCGTTGGAAGCTTATCGCACTCGTCTGCGTGCTCAACGAGATGGCTCTCGTGTACCCGCAATGCGAACGATACTTGTAGTGCTCGCCCCTGGCGAAAGCGCTACAGATGACAAAGCGCTCTTTGAGCGATGGGTGCAAAGGCATCGCAAACTTTCCTCACTGTATACCTTACAGTTGAGCCACAAGGAAGTAGACGTGCGTGTGGAGCGACACTTCCGATTTGAGAGGTGCAAAGTATATCCACACTTTGTGAAATATTTCTGATGATATGTATTGACTTTTCTGATCAAGAATAAGAGTATAGTAGCTTGCAAGCTCAAACGACTCATGACGCATTATGGAGATCAATGAAGTATTAATCCAAAATACTTGTGATTCAGCAGCGGAGCATGTTACGTCAATAAGATGATCGTACACATATGTCGCCCAAGCAGCATTTTCCACCACCGCTCCTTTTCATATCGCACTCAGCTCAACGGGATGGCGAAGCAAATGAACAAGACGATCAAGAAAAAGCAGCATTTTGCAATACTACGATAATGATTCCACTGATTGGTGGGAAAGAGGTGATCATCGCTCAACAATCACATCTCATTATGATATCTCGTTTTATGAGCTGGCGCTCGAGTTGAAGCATCCAATGAATCGCTTGCGCCTGTTTGGATCCCAGGGTTGCACTCAAGTCGTCAATGCGAAGCGAGCAAAGCTGGTCGCCAAGAGCGCCAAAGGTATGTATCTCGGCAATGCAAATCTG